TGTTGTGTAAGCCTCCTTTACTTTTGAGTCAGTCACATGATTAGCACTGTTCATGGGCATATGAATATGCAAAGGGTGTCTGTCCCAAACCTATCTCCACCCCTTCAAGGTCCTAGGTTGAGCTCTCCCGCCATCAGCTATTACAATGTCCTGCTCCAGTACTAAACATCTCCAGTAAACCTAGGATCTCACTGGATTCCAGGAACAGCAGAGCCTCCCAGACCTATCACCCCGTGATAAGATCGCCAGGCAGTCAGGGGCAATCAGCTTATGGGAACCAGATGGTTCCCCTCAAACAATAAAGACTTCTACCCACCTATCAGACCAGAACTGCGACCACACTTTGACCAAGACTTCTTAATTATGTGTAGCCCTTGTTTCAGTTTTCCTCTATTTAAGTCCACAGTTCATATCAGTGTACTGAAAATGGATCTGGGGGTTTATGAGGCTCTCCATCTTCTTCCCAGTGTGCCACACTGATTTCTACCTCCCACCATTACGATTCTCTGTAGTTATTGTTCTAGGATAGGTAGCTGAGCCTTGCCTGCTGAGACTCCCAGATCCCTGGCTTTTATTTTATAACAATATATTTCATTACCATATTGGATTACGTGTCTGTTGTCTGTTTCTTAAACTTGTGTGTGAATTCCATAAGGCCAGGTCATTGGCTTGTTTCTCTCTATATGCCCAGCACCTACACCAAAAACTTTGTGTGATGGATGGAGAGGGGTGAATGAGTGGGTAATGTCTAAGACAGTAATAAAAGAGGGCAGATAGACGCACCCATCGCGGGGAGATGTTCAAAAGAGCCGATTCTCCCAGCAGCCCTGGGGAACTGTCAACCGATCAGATTGGGTGCTTAGCTGGTGAACAGGAGAGAGGGGAGTTAATGCTGAAAAAAAGCAGGCTCCAACCAATACGTGCTGAGTCCCAAATGCCAAGACATTTAGCCTGGGTAATAACAGGAAAACTACCTGTCTTCAGGCAATTGAAAGAGTTGAGCGAGACCTCCCTATGAAGCCCCAGGGTAGAATCATTTCCACCTTTAGGGCCTTTCATAGCTGATCTGGATGGAATTCACATTCGGCCCAATTCCCTGGCTTGGGATAATGGGGCTTTTATTTGCCTCAAGACAATTGGCTTAAACTCGGAGGTGGAAAACAAGCAGAGAGCAAGTGGTACGTTTATAGTGGTCTAGGTGACAGGACTGACTGAACTCTAAGATGTGCTGGAAAAAGAAACTGAAGACTAAAGGCCCAGTTTTCTTTGCCTTAGTGGTCAAGCTAGTTCTCAGGCTGGTTTTCTGGGCATAGGAGGAGTCTATTTCTTTTCCTGTGGCTAACAGGATGTACTAAGATGTCTGTAGCCACAGACCCCTTTCCTGTATGATGTCACTGAGAGAAAAGATAACAGTACTATAGTTAGTATTTATTACTCATCTGCCGAGGGCTAGGCACAGTGCTTAACTCATCCCTTAATCCTTTGAGCAATAGGGCAAAGGCTCAGTCAACTCCTTAAGGTGATACTTTGGCCAGTGAGAGAGAGAGAGACACAGGAGTCAAAACACATCTCTCAGCTGCCCCAACCTGTTCTTGAGTGAAAGGATTATATTCCTACATGAGACTAGTGGGGGCTGATCTGAAGCTTCTAGGATAGCTGAACCATGGTTAAGGGGATCTCCCTAGGTTGAAGCAGAGTTGAGATGGGATAGCCTGGACCAAGGAGAGTAGAGGCAAGGGGAATCCAGAATGCCATTTAAGAGGGTCCTACTAGAAGCAAGACAGAGTGAAAGGTAACCCAGAGACTGGTCACCCAGGGCAGGTGATTATGGGAACAAGCAACAAGAGCAGACACGCAGCTGCATTTAAATATCTGAAAGGTCCCCAAAGAGAATGGATTCACTTTCTGTTTCAAGAGAGAGCAAAACCAGCCAGGCGGTGGCACATGCCTTTAATCCCAACACTCAGGAGGCAGAGCCAGGCAGATCTCTGTGAGCTGGAGGCCAGCCTGGTCTACTGAGCAAGATCCAGGATAGTCACCAAAACGACACAGAGAAACCCTGTCTTGAAAAACTGAGAGAGAGAGAGAGAGAGAGAGAGAGAGAGAGAGAGAGAGAGAGAGAGAGAGAGAGAGGAAACCACAAGCACTTAATGTGAATTTGTGACCTCAATCTTCATCCCTCGCTGGGTGCCTCACGGTATCACTCATTCCCTTGGCCATATATTCTTCCAAAATTGGTCCCTCTGCTTTAAGGGCAGCAGTCTAGCTTTCTAGCCATGATGACTGTGTCCAAACAGATGAAAATGAAACTAAACTGATCCCCTGCCCCCCACACACAGAGGGGAAGATGGAAGCTGAAAGACCAAATTCCACACCTTTCTGCCTGTGAAGCAGGGATGTATGAGCCTGAGATGCCGCTGGTAGCTGTGTTGTCCAGTAAGTGGAGTGGTCAGTCTGAGAGAATGATGGAAAAGATAAACAGGCAAAAATACAGAGAGGAGCAGAGATGGGAAGGGGAAGGAGAAAATAAGCCAGGGAGGGAGAGGAGTGAAGAGATTGATTTACAACCTTCGATATCGTTCATATGGCTCCCTGGAGCTAAGCCTTTTCAAGTTTTTGTCAAGAGAGCCAATAAATATTGTTGTTTTCCTTACCCAAGTCTGAGTTGGCTTCTGTCACTTGCAGCTGCACGATCCTAGTGTGACACAGTAGCACTACATTACATTATTACATCCTAATGCATGTGGACTAAAGTGAAGAAATGAGCTTTTCACCGTTAGAGGCATATTTAGGAAGGGTCTGGATGATGCTAATGTGACTAGATTTATTGAAGTGACCTTCACATTGTTCTGGGGGTGCTCGTCGAGCCTAAGTTCTATGAGGGCCCACGGGACACAAAAGGCCATGTTCTTCACTCATGCCTCAGTTTACCTCTACATGGGGCATTTGCTTCCGTATTTCTCCAACTCTATTAACTCACAATGTGATCTGTTGATGGCTCACTTACAAGGCCTCCTGGGTGGATTTCACAACCACTCTCATTAAGAAAATAAGAAGGCAGCAAGAGGGCATACCTTTTCCCCAAGCCAAACCACTGTATAATTAGTATACAATGAAAATGGCAATTTGGGGACATTGCCAAAAAAGACTCAGAGCCACTGCTCCATTATGAACCAAGCTAAACTTCATACTGTGTCCCCAAAGGAGCCCCAAAGTGATTGCCTGACGCTGATAATGGTGCTTTTTATGTAAGAAATTCTTCTCTTTTTCTTCCTCAGTACTAAGGGTTGATCCCATGGTATTAGAAGCAAGTGCTCTACTGCTGAGCTAGCCCCAGTTTAGGAAAGTTCTTTAAGGAATAAGAAAGTCCACATCCTGTATCTGCTGGTTGGTTCCCACCCCACCATAAAATCCCACCATGGAGCCTCCTCAGTTTTAACTCTAGATGAGGAAGAATTTCTGACATCTTCCAGTGACGTACACAATAGGGATCAAAAGAGCGTACTTAGGGGCCACAGCTAATATTTCTAAAGCTTTGGTTTTTCTTGGAGTTCACACTAGACATGTTTAGGAGACTCACATGAGCTAAGCAGTTTATGTGTTTAGCATATATATATTATATACATAATTATATTATATATAATATTCAAAGCAGGCATCAGAATTCCCAGAGCAGCTAAACAGCATCATCAGAGGAAACAAGCAACTCAGAGACATGCAAGCATTTCTGCCAAGGTACAAGTCTTTTAGGTGTGTTCCACTGTCATTAATTACCACCAGCATCAGGCTGGTGGGTTTCTTCAGAAACTTTTCAAGTTAATGAACCTCCTTCCTCTCGCAAAAAGAAGACTTCTTGGTTAACGTAAGTGTTGAACATCACAGTAAATGCAGCCTGCATCTTTGAAAGTGGCTTTGGAATCCGGAGGCATTCACAGTGCTCTCTTGATGCCCATAAGGGCTGGAAAGACTACAGCTTAGTCAGAAAGTACAGCACTCCACTATCCCTCCCCTGTGTCGCTCCGCAGAAGGACCAGCGCTTGGCCTATCGCCAAGTGCTTACTGTTCTCCAAATAGGCTGAGCTTCAACGGCTCTGGGCCAATAGTGACTCTGCCATCTTTCATTCTGGACCAGTTCTGTAAATGCTTATTGGGTTGACCCTTCGATGTGCCTCACAAACCTAGAGGGTACTGGAGGGTCCACCGCAACTTCACTCATCTCTAAAAGTGAAGAGTCTCTTCAGCATCTAATAATGCTCAATGACCTTGATGTTTAGCTTTGTGTCAAGGGTTTTAGCCTCAACCCGCGTCTAGAGTGTATTAAACCCGAGGCTGGCAAACTTTCTACGGAGAGTCAGATGTTCAATATTTTAGGGTTTACTAGCCCTTTCATATAAGCAATTTGTACACAGACTCTAGCAGTGAGTGAATGACAATTGTGTATGTGGATACTGAAGTCTAAATTTGGTGTAATTCTATGTGTCATAAAATTATTATTTTTCATCAATTTAATAAGGCAAAAAGCCATTTGTTGCTCTCAAGCCATACAAATATAGGTGGTGGACTCTAGTTTTCCATTTCCTGTGTGAAGAACTTACACATCATCCCTCTTATTCTTTCAGGACAGAAACTGAAAACTGAGTATCACCAGCTGCTGGGTTCACCAGAGGAGAAAAACAACATCGAACCACGGGTCAGATCACTCATATCTCATCAGTGTGGGTGGAGTTCAGAAACTCCTCTGGCACCCACAGAACCATCTCTGGGAGCCCACCTGCCTGCCTGCCTTCAACAAGACTCCTCTAAAGCTTGCAGCAGTCGGGAAGGGAAGCCACCATTGTTAAAGGCACCCAAAGTTTTCTGTTCTTGGCCTAGCTTGCCTTGAAAGGAAACAATTTTATTCTAGCTTACCCGCCTGAGGTTTTTAAGAACCAGACTGCAGGAGAAAGGACACTACCAACTCAGCCTCACTACCCTTCCTCTATCAACTAGGGTGAAGAATATCTTGGAATACACTGGAAGACTTTCATAAGTTCAGAGTATTAATATGTACATTTCGCCTATAAAACTTTCATGGTAAATAGAAAGACACGTGGGAAATAAGACGGTTATTCTTGATTGTTATCTTGATGGAATTTAGAATTAGTCACCATGGAAACAAATCTCTGAGCAGGTACATGAAGGAGTTTCTAGACTGGATGAACTGACTTGAGAAGACCCACCTTATATGTGGGGGTCCTGGTCCAGATTAAAAGAATGAGGACCGGCTATGGGCATTCATCTCCCTTGGTTTCGTGACTGAGGTGGAAGTGTGATCAGCCTCCTGCCATGCTGCCTTCCCTGCCATGATGGACTATGACTTCAAGCTGTGAACCTCTCCTTCCTAAGTTCACTTTGTCAGACACTCTGTCATGACAAGAGAAAGAAGTAATCCAAGAAATACATTTAAGTATTTAAGGAAGATCATTTCCTTAAACCATGGCGAACAACCACAAAATGTTAATTAAGTGAGCAGAAAAATGAGTGAAGACTGTAAACTCCATATCAAAAGGCTCTCCCATCTGTACTGAAGCAGACTCGCCACAAATGGGGCTTATAAATAGGATTTTGGGGTGCTCCTGATCTACCCCTGTTTCTTCACAGAGTAGCACTGTAGCAGAATTCTGGTGAGTAGCAGATTACAGCTGAAAAGAACGTCAAGGCTCAGTTCTTATGTGTAAGATAGTCTCTTGGGGGAACCCAAGACAATGGAGAAGACAAAATCAAGGACAAATGGAGAAATTTAGCTTCTCACACCTACGGTTATGACCGGCAATAACACAGCCCAACTCACAGGTAGAGAAGCGAGACATGGGAGGTGGCTGAGAATTGCTGCCTGCCTGACAGTTAACTGACCTTGGTCCTTACACTCTCAGTTGTTTCAACACCATCACAATTGTCCCAGTTGGATCCCAGCAGCACCAGCATTCCATTTCTGCCCCCACAGTAGCAAATAGGAAACTATATTTCATATAAGATGATGGCTACAAGGCGTGATCTACAGAGGGAAGATAGGGCCTGGATTTAAAAAGGAAACAAAACCATAGAACACATTATGTATGTGTGTGTGTGAGGGGTATGTGTGTGTAGGCACACAGACACACACAGACACAGACACACACACACACACACACACATGCATGTGTTGGGGTCAGAGACAAACCTTGGATTTCATTTCTCAGGTGCTGCCTACCTTGTTTTTTAGGACAGACATTCTCACCGGCCTGGGACTAGCCAATTAGGCTATGCTAGTTGGCCACTGAGGCGTAGAGTTCTGCCTGTCTCCACCTTCCGGGTGCTGGGATTAGAGTCGTGCACTGCCAAGCTCACGTGGGCTCTGGAGCCAGAACTCAGGTCCTCATACTTGAACAGCACGTATTTTACCGACTGAGCTTTCCCTCCAATAGTCAAATTTTCTCCAATAGTCAAACATGCCAGTATAATTGAAGAGGCCTCTTCCAAACTCCTCCATATCCATAGGGTGGCAATCATAAGGGAGTACAAACCTGGCTTTTCCAAGTCACCTTCCCAGACACCTTTCCCCACTGCTCCGAGTTGTTATGACTGCAGTTTTGAATAGGTGCAGGATGCTCGATGGAGCAGCCAGAGACCTGCAATAAGAGGCTTTCATTTCATCCAAATAGTAACTCAGATCACGAATCACATCAAGGCTGGCTTCCAGCAATCCATGTACTTTTAGCTCATGGGCTGCTGGTTCTCAATAAAAGTATAGCCACTGGAAATGATTTCGACATGATCCTTTACCAAAAATATCTCTGATGCATTTTCAAAAAACAACCTGTTTCCCTCAACTTCTTGGACGCTTCCTACTGCCGGGGAAACAACGCCCATGTTTAAAAGCCGCCAAGGCTATGGATCCCAAAGAACAGAACTTGAGTACTCTGTGTGCCCTGAATGACTTTATAGGCTCAAAACTCGATTTTGAGAGGTCCATAAAGGAGCACTCAGAGAGCAGAGGTTGGCCTGGGACATGAGAACAGGAGCTGCCTTGGGGGCACAGCGTTTCTGTGAATGTCCTTCCTGTCACCACAGCTCTATTCGCTGACAAAAGCCCTGCTGTTTCCAACCAATGGCAGGTCCAGGACAGTGCACTTCACCAGGACGGCAGTTCTGCAAAGCAGGCAAAACAATTACTGGGATGGAACCGGGCAGGAAACCCACTTCCTTTATCCTCGGCATCGGGATGAAAAGAGGGACGGCGGCGGACGGTGAAAGGCTGGCCTTTCAGGCTGATCCGCGCTGTCACCTCTTGTTACCTGCATGAAAGAAGGGGATTGTTTGGGCCTGAGGTCTCGACAAGCGTCTTGATTTTCCAAAGCAGCTGCTGTTCATCCACAGGCTCGTGGCTGGCCAGAGCCACCTGCCGTATGTTTCCCTTTATTCCCTGGTTCGGATTACAATGTATACGGCTTTTAGCTTTATTGCCTCCAATGATTTCATTAATAGTTCTTTCTGTGCTCTGCTACAGTCCAAGCTTCGGCCTTTGGGAACAGATGCCTTGCTGAGTTTTCTTTGTTTATACACCACAACCTGGCCCATGTGTGTGGTACATGGGTGAGCACTCAGGCTTGATGGAAACAAAACAATACATCAAGCAATAGGATTTTATCTTAATAGGATAATAACAAAGACTGATAACATATATTGAGTAATCCTTTACTAAAAACACTACATAGAATATTTAAACTTTGAAGAATGCCTAACAACAATCTCAATATATAGGATTAATATTAATAACAGTATTAATAGATGAAAACTGAGGGTCATCAGTCCACAGGTAAGTTCATATGTGGGCCTGAACCAGTCTCTGAAGCTTCATCTCTCCCCATGATACTGAATCACCTCAGCGATTTTTGTTTTCTAGATAAACAATGCCATTGCCACCAAGCTCCTGATATTTAGACATTATGAGATTGCCATAACTCATCACTACACGTACCTATTTTCCAAGAGCTTTTCATGAAGTGCATAAAGAGGATTGCAGAGCAAAGATGCAAGCTTCCTGGAATACTCAGGGAAATGGTTAGCTCACTAAGCCTCCGAGAAAATGGCAGCTAAGTGGCTAGTTCCATCCTGGGAATGAATTGTTCTTCCTGGAGGAGCTGAAATTGGCTTCCTTGTATTCCTAGTTAGCTGGTCTCTGTCTAGGGGCAGGGGACGGAGGACAGAAATAACTCTCTTTTCATAACCACCTAGTTGATCTCTGGGAATTGTGTGGGTATCTGTTTATATATGGAAACCAAGAGCATCATTTATTTTTAGTACATGGCATTTGTAGGTCACTTAAAAATGCAACTACGACAAGATAAGGCAGGGGGAGGAAGAAGTTTCAGAGGGATCACAGTGCAAACAAATGGTAAGCCCAAAAGCAAGGTGCCCTGTTTAAATGATCTAAAGGTGAGTAGGCCTTTCTGCACAAGACACTGAACTTGACCATCATTTTAAAAATGATATATTTGACTTTATAAAATTTTAGATTCTTCTGCATGAAACAAAGAGTGTAAACAAGGCCAAAAGACAAACGGAAAGTGTAATTGCACTGATGCCAGGCTAATTTTCTTAAACTATAGAGAATATCTGCAAGAGTAAAGCCAAGAGTAAACGAGCAAAGAATATAACTAAGGAAAAGAAATCAGGACTGGGGCTGCAGCTCACTCAGCCAGCCATAGGTTTGATCCCTAGTACTATATTGGGAAATGGTACAGGTATGCAGTCCGCACATTTGGGAGGTAGATTATGTAGTAAGGAAGATGAGGTGTAGACAAAAGCACGTGTGAGTCCTGTGAGAAGATATCAAGCTATCTTTTCTTGTTTTAACTTCTGTCAAAGATTCTCTTTCCTTTTCTGGGTGGTATGTGAATGTGGATCTCTGTGTTTTGAGGAACCAGACAGTACTTTTGCATTCCAAAAGAAGCCAGCACGTATTACTACTTTGAGGCAATGATTGCAAAAGTTGGGCATGCTTTAAATCCTACTGGGTGAGTGCAATAAGATTTAGACAGGACCAGTCACTAAATACAGCTGTCACATTAACCCACTTAGAAAAAGTGATTTTTTAAAAAAACTTGTTTGGAGACAGTGTTTTTACCAACAGTTTTTTTTCTTTTGTTTAAGACTATATCTTTAGAATGTAAATTATACTGGTATACATAAAATAAATTAGTTTAATTTTTTTAATTAAAAATCCCCCAAAGAAATGAGGAAAAATAAATTTGTAGTCCACTGCTGGTGGGGCATATCCTAGTGAAATGTTCATGGTGAGCACGTGACTGGTAATGTTCTCAAAGTCTGAACAATATATAGTCTCTGATGCAAAACAGATTTTATTTCCGGGAGCACTTGCACACAGACAAAAATGATGCCTCTTCAAGAATTCTCATTATCCAGTTTAAAATAGCAACATATTGGATTCTATCAACTGTCCATCAAAACAAGTCTAGTCAATTAAATTAGGATATACACAGACTCATCAAGATAATTAAACCAGGACATCCAGGCAGGGATAACCAGGCAGCTGTTAGATTCAAGGGGGAGCTTGTAACTGTGGTGTGGAAAGATACCCAAGAAATACGGTTAGGTATTTCAATGCACAAGAAGTACACAGGCCAATGTGTCTGCTAGGTCTCATTTACTTAAGGAAACTAGAAGCCTAATGTGGTGGTACACACTAATAAGTGCAGGGGCTAAGGCAGGAATGGCATGAGCTTGGGGGTAAACCTGGGCTACATAACAAGTTTCACAAGAACCTGAATTATAGAATGTGACCCAAGGTTAAAAAAAATCTATAAATAAATAACTTGATAAAGGAATAAATGAATAAAATAGATGGACACCACAACTGTCCTGGCCTCTAAATGCCATCTCTCAGAGGTGTATACCAGACACAACAGCTCAAGAAAATTCCATATCTCAAGATAGCATCCTTGATGAGCATGGTGCCCATCAGATACTCTATTTTTACTTTTTAAAGTTTTTTCCAATTCTATCTATCTGAATAGTTAGGATAAAGCAGCTTCACAAACACAGAAATCTTATTTATCTAATCAAAACAAATGGACAAAATATGTCTGACTGTTTTATGGTCATTGTGTTTAGCTTTCTCTCTCCACTCTTCCTGCCCCATTCCCGAAACTTGGTGATTTGTTTAGGTTCTCAAGTCTGCTCATTACCTTATGGGCTGAGTGTTTCCTCTGTAAGCATTCTCTTTTATGAACACTTTTTTTTTTGGCCCTTGGTGTTGTACTATGTTTCCATAGTAACAGCAATTATCAGCATCAGCTGTTATGCCGACCCTTAGTATTTTTATTCACCTGACCTTAAAGTTCATGCAAAGCTGAATTACAATTCTCTGGAGATCCTGCTACTGTTTCTAAAACTGTTTCTATAATCCTTTTCCCATCCTGATATACTTTACAACTGCAGACAGTGTATCTACAGTGTTCATGCATACACTTGATGGGCATGTATCAGCAACCCAAAGAGCCTGCAGGCGAGGTGCATTCCTTAATGTGCTCAAACCCTCCTGGAACCTTTAACACATTAACAATACAACAGAGTGGGTGTAAGTTTTGCAGTTATATAGAACTTAGGTTTTTACAGACAGACTGCTTTGGTTCCAATGTGCCATCTGATGCGGTGTGATCTCTGCCAACTTCCTTAGCTTATCTGTGGCCTACTCCCCTCCTCATCTCTGAAACAAGGATAATAGTTACTTAGATTTTTTTTTCTACCTTAAATATATGAAATGTGTAGAGTCTTTGCAGAAAAAGGTAAAAAGCCTTAACAAACTCTCTGCTATCTGGAAGCTTCCCTAAGTAGCATTTTGGTCATAGACTGGTCATTGCCTTTGTACTTATCTGAACTTAACAGTGTAACACCCTATGAATCCCCAAAATAATTCTTGTATGTGTGTGGGAAGACACAACACTCCACTCCTTCCCCGAAATGTCTTGCAAGGATGGCTTTGGGAAGACATCCTTGTAGAAGACTACCCAGTCATGCAGGGTACATCTTCATGGACTAGGTTGTTTTACTGCAACTCTATCCAATGGGCTTAAGGATCTACTCAAAAGCCAGATGATTGTTTTCAGGTTCTATGTGCAGTGCTAGAAAAAAAAGTTAGGTGTTCCTGCCTGGGAAAGTGGCCACAGAAAACAGCAGCAAAGCCAGAACCACATTACCAGGGGCAGACACTCTCTCACCTGTAACATGCTTACCACAGACTTCTGTGGAACACATTGTCCTTGCCGATGGAGTTCCAATAACTCAGCACAAATCTCTAGAACTTTGCCAGGACCCTAAGTTTGGGAGTTATTGGCACAGTTGCTGCACCCTCAGGGCTTCATCAAGGAAACATTTTAAAGGTGAAATGGAGTACTACTCAGTACTCAACACTTACTACTAAACTTAGTCCCATCTACTTAGAGCTCAACAATGAAAACTATAGACAGATGGGCACCCATACACACACACACACACACACACACACACACACACACACACACACAGTGACATATCATAGATTTTATAAAAGCAAAAAGAAACTACCTTCATTCCTTCTCTGTACTCTAGCAACATCATTTTCATGGCAGCAAATTTTACTGAGGGGAGAGATGGGGAGTACATTTATGTATATATGTTAAGGAGGGATATAGAGAAAAAGACCTTTCTGCCAGACAATGCACCAATATCTGCTCTTATAGCAATCACTCTTGTGATAACTTCTCCAACAATCTTTTGTTGTGGAGTACAGCTTTTGCTGCCAGGAAGCATATTGATCTGATCTAGTTTCATTCTGTTGCTGAGATAAAACACTGACCAAAAGCTACTTAGGGTTGAGAAAGGTTTATTTCATCTTAAACTTCTAGGTCACAGTCCATCATTGAGGGAAGTCTGGGTAGGAACTCAAGGCAGGGACCTGAAGGTTGGAACCAACAGCTTCTTTTTGGTTCACTCTCTGACTTGCTTACTGAGTCATATTCTTTTTTTTTTTTTTTCTCGAGACAGGGTTTCTCTGTGTAGCTTTGCGCCTTTTCCTGGAACTCACTTGGTAGCCCAGGCTGGCCTCGAACTCACAGAGATCTGCCGGGCTCTGCCTCCTGAGTGCTGGGATTAAAGGCGTGCGCCACCACCGCCCGGCTGCTTCTGAGTCATATTCTTATACAACCCAGTCCCACGTGCCTAGGGATGGTATTGGTGGAAGTATTAAGACAACTCCACCTAGTTAAAAGGGAGGTTTATTTGAGGGTTTTTACTTACAACAAGTAAAGGGATAGGTTACAGGATCTGGGAGAGGTGAAGTGCAGTCCAGCGGTGTTCTCTGGAGAACTCTGCTTGATCTACCATCCAACATCCATGATTATCAGGAACCAAGAGACGGGCACATCCGGATTCTGGATCTTAAGGGCTCCTGTCTCAGCACTGCCTCAGGG